TCACAGTGCAAAGCCAGCCCCAGCCCAGCCCAGGAGCACAGTGCAAAGGGGCTTTTTGGCATGCCACCACTCTGGATCTTTTTACTTTTTTTTGCAGTGCAAAGCCAGCCCCAGCCTGGACTAGCAGCAGGAGCAAAAAGGCAATGAAGATCAGCTAGGGCAGTGGAGCGCAGAGCGGCAAGAGTCTCAGAGTGCAGGGTAGCGAGGGTGACTGCAGCTGGGACTGGGCAGGGATGGCTGTGGCTTTCCGGGGCGTGGCTGCGGCTTCCCGGGGGTGTAGCAAGCAGCCCCAGAGCCATGCAGTGCAGGGCAGCCAAAAGGGCAGAGATGAGGGGAGATGGGGGGGAGCTGGAGGCAGTCCCTTACATTACTGAGGCTCAGGGCTAGGAGGGACCAAGTACAGAATGGTTTGGATCAGAGTGGGTATTCGCTTAATGACCCGCATTTCTTGGTTAATGACGGCAACCAGGACTGCCAGGATTGCTGTTGCTAACCGATTGGTCATGTGACATTTTGCTTTACAACCACATTGCTTAGCAATGGAAATTCCAGTCCCAATTGTGGTTGTAAATCAAGGACCACCTGGATCACATGTTAAAAATATAGGATTGGGCCCAGTGGCTACACAAGGTGAAGATACATTTTGTAGCCAATCTCTCTCTTTCCCTTCCCTCTCGCTCTACAGCTATAGCCCTTTGCACCTGCAAAAGCCTCCAGGAAGCCTTCCATAGTGCAAAGAAAACTGTCTGGAATCAGGCAGAGGAATCTTGCTCCAAAAGGAGTCCTTGTGGCCCAAGATCTTCTTGCCCGATTTCAGATGGTTCTTCTGTTTCCTTCTCTTCTGGATGTGTCCCTGAAATTCTGGATAAGAGGCTTTAGGCATGCAGGAGGCTACAGATGGAAGAAGGAGAAGAGATAGATTATGATGATGATGATGATGATGATGATGATGATGATGATGATGATGATGATGAAGAATTAAACTTGTATGCCATACAACTCCCAATGACTCTGAGCAGCTCAC